GTCCAGATGACCACTATAATTTTATCATGTGTTTTGCCAGCCTGCCTGTTCTTCTGACCACTGCCTTGATAGCACTGGCTAAGTCACAGGGGGAGGTTGAAAGTCTCCTTCTCCTCCAAGACCATGTGGCAAGACTCTTGAGAAAAAACAACCGCTAGCAGCTGAGACAAATACCTCCAAAGTGGCCACAGGGGCTCCTGTCTCAAGAGGACCTTTAAGATAATCAATGTGAACTGGGCTCAGTGGCTCAGCCTGTAATCCAGCACTTTGGGGGCTCAAGTGAGTGGATTGCCTGAGCTTGTGGGTTCGAGACCCTCCTGGGCAACTTGGTGAGACCTCATCTCTACAATAAATCAAAAAAATTAGCCGAGCGTGGTAGCGCACGCCTGTAGTTTTAGCTATTTGGAAGGCTGAGGCGGAAGGATCGCCTGAGCCCAGCAGGTCGAGACTGCGGTAGCCGGGAGCGTGTCACTGCACTCCAGTCTGGGTGACAGAGTGAGACTCCAACTCAAAAAAAATAAAAAAGATAACCAGTGTGCTAAGATAACCCTATATGCTACCTTCATTAAAACTGATCAATGTGCAAAGGAAAATGGTGACCATTGTGGGAACCTGGGGGCCCCATCTCAAAGGGTCCTTTGTATAAGGAGGAATAATCTGGGGTCGGAGGCTCTTCCTGTGTCAGGTAGAAGGAGGCCTGGAAACAGAAGGGTGGAGCTGTTTACTCAGCTTTGCCTTGGCATCTGCTTCCATGGATGGGGAAAAATCATAATAAAGGCAGGGACCTTCAGTGGCATGACTCAGAAACTCCAATTTATTCGTACATATTTCTGGTTACCTTTGTTTCTTGAGAGTTTGCTGTCAAGAAAAACTCTATGTATACAGTGAATGTGCAAGTATGTGTGTTTTTGTAGGGACTAGGGAAAGAGAGAAATTGAGAGAGAGAGAGAGAGAGAGAGAGAGAGAGAGAGAGAGAGAGAGAGGGAGACCTGTACAAACTAGCTAGCTTCATCTCGCTCTCTCTTTCTGACTTGCTCTTTTTTTTATTTCTTACTTTTCCATCCTTAGTCTCTGTTTTTTTAGTTTCCACCCCCTTCCTTTGTGGTTTTGCTCATAGCCAGGCCAGGGTTTACAAGAAACTCATTTCATCTCTTGTCTCCACCTTCCAATTAAAGTTGGTTCTATGCATCTCATTTCTTCTGCCTTTGGGTGTGACTCAATCTCTGGCTCAGTGATCTTGAGACCTGGAGCCTTCACAGTAAGTAGCCTCTCTACTCTCTCTGCTACCCTTGTGACATGACTGTGTCTTACTCTTCTTTTCCCATCTGGTCTCCTGGTCCTGGTTCTTGGCAATCTTTTTCTCTAGGCTCAGCTTGATTAAGATTCGAGGAAAGACCAGTTCTCATTCCTGCCTGTTCTCCCGGACTCTGGGAGTACTTGCTTTAGAGGAGGGGGAGAGCTGCATGGGAGGCAAGACTTACAGCAGCCACCTCAGGGTTGTCCCCTCCTTGGCCAGTCCTGCCCTCTCACTTATAAGAGTTGCTTTTATACACACTTCGTAGAAACTATCAGGACCCCATGTGGACCACACTTATCTGCTAATCATAAAACCCACATACCTGCCTTTTTCTGCCCAACAACCTCTTTCTCTTTCCTCAGGTATGGTGGGAGGATGTTCCACCCATCCTCCTGTCAAAGGCCAATCTTTTGCCTTTGCTTTAAATCCTATTCCAATCCCCATTCTGTCTTTTCCTCTGGTACTTCCCATTCTCTCTTGCATTTCTAAACTGACCCCTCTATTGAATGCCTTGTGTCAACATTCAGGTTTATTCCATCCTCTCCCATGTTAAAACAAACAAAATGTTCTCTTGACCCCATACTTCCCCCATTACCTCAGGACTTTTCTAATTCCTTTTGTTGCCATCTTTCAGAAAGATCTGACTATGTATGTTAACTCCATTTCTTTATCTCTTATTCTTTTTTTGCTAAATTAATTTTTATTGTATCAAAGTAATAGACACTCATGGTTTAAAAAGTCAATTATCATTAAAAACGTATGCCTCCAAACAGTAGTCCACCCCTCCCTGACACTCAGTCTCTTTACCCTGAGGCAAATACTTTATATATTTTCACTAGTTCTTCTTACATCTCTGCATTTCTAAATCATTAATGTACTATAGATCATTGCCTTTTGAGTCATTGATTTTAGGCATTATCTATTGACTTCCTGTTCTAGAACATTCCACCACTATCCTTTCAAGATAGTTATATTATAAATCTTAATTAGCTCAATATTCAGTGGTTTCATTATTTCTGTGCAAATAGTATTCACACCTGGATATTGTGGTTTACTATTGTTTCCTGTCTTATATTTTTTGTTTTCCTTGTAGTTAGTAATTTATTTATTCTACTTTCATTTATCTAGTTTTCTTGTAACTTATGTTTTTCCCACCTTCTAATAACCTCTTAGTAAGCTCTTACAGAAGGCCAATAGCATCAGTTAGCCTACTGTTAGGCTAGACAGGCAGTTAGGCAGACATTAGCGGATTAAAGAAAAGGTTCCAGAGAGAGGCACTCATTAAGAAAGGAATGGCCCAAGAATGCCCAACAAATCATTCATTCCAGAGTCACAGCTGTTAACTTGTAGCCAATAGCATCCTGGGATGAGGGAAAGAAAAACAAAGAGGGGATTCCATGGGGTTGTGCAGGTGCCCTAAAAAATAATTTGTCCGACGGGCTCAGTGGCTCAGCCTATAATCCCAGCACTTTGAGAGGCCGAGACGAGTGGATTGTCTGAGCCCGTGGATTTGAGACCAGCCCAGAAAACTTGGCGGGACCTCGTCTCTACAATAAATCAAAAACTTAACTGGGTGTGGTAGCGCGCACCTGTAGTTCTGGCTACTTGGAAGGCTGAGGGGGAAGGATTGCCGGAGCCCAGTAGGTTGAGGCTGCGGTGGCCGAGAGGCGTGCCACTGCCCTCCAGCTTGGGTGACAGAGTGAGAGTCCAATTCAAAATAATAATAATAATAATAATTTGTCCACTATTTGACCTTCCTGAGGTGGCAGTGATGAGCAACACTGCCATTAGGTAGGATTCATATTTATCACTGGGCCTCATGCCTGTGCAGAAGCCGTCGGTTATATAACATCCCCAACCCTGGGTGGGGACAATGCAAAATTGGTGGTGAGATCAGGGAGAAGACCAAGAGGAAGGAAGTTAGGGAATATCAAAAACACCACAAAAGCCCTTGGGGCTGTTCTCAGCTGGGTCAGGCTGCTCCATCCCCTTTCAAAGTGTACTTCTCTCTATTGCCTAAATAAAGTTTCTCCTTGCTCTGCTGTTCCATCTCTTGGTTGAGTTGTTTTCTCCAGGAAGACAAGAACCGAAGATGTGTTGGTGAATTCCTGCGGTGGTAATGCTATCAATCCTTCTGTCTTGGAGCTATCCTTTTGGGGGAAACCCATTTTCCATCTTTCAGGATTTTCAGGGATCCTCAACTCTCCAGGCCAGTTGACCATCTTTCTCCTGGGAATTTGATTTTCTCTTTGTTTGGATTCCTGTTTCATGGAGTTTTGTCTTCTTCCTTTTTCATTCTCCAGTAGTTTCATCAGTTTAAGGAAATAGTGCAGTGATCGAGGATGTGGTGGCGATAGTGCTCTAATTCTTTTTGTCTCTCTAGTCAAACTGCCCCAGCCTGGATTGGGGTCAAGTTGTAGAGGAGGGCTGGTGGTTTCAGGAAGGGAGATGGAAAGTCTGGTGAGCTCTTTTTCTCTTGTTGACAGAACAGGTCTTGCTTTCAGCCTCTCCCTTGTTTATCAACTTTAATATATAGAAGAATGGTGAATCAGAGGGAATGTGTTCTCAGGACCTCTTGGGAGTGTGCCATGGCTTAGGTCACTCATATTTGATCAGAATACAACTTTTAAAATATTTTACAGAGTTTGACATCTTTCGTTAACACATGTCACCTGACAAAAAGGTGATGTTGGGTGGGGTACAGTGTGTTGTTCTGTGGTTTCTTTGATATCTCCATAGAAAAGAATTTCAAAGTGAGTCTGAAATATAGTTTAAGAAAGAAATTATTAGAAAGAAAAGGGGCATACTCAAGGAGAATTATGGGTGCTTTAAGAGAAAAGGCACGTGCTTTTTTTTGAAGAATGTGACCTCATTCTTCTAAATATTAAAGTTGATAAACGAGAGAGGCTGAAAACAAGACCTGTTCTGTCATCAAGAGAAAAAGAGCTCAGCAGACTTCCCATATCCCTTCCTGAAACCGCCAGCCCTTCTCTACAACTTGACCCCCCAGGCTGGGGCAGTTTGACTAGAGAGACAAAAAAGTTAGAGTGCTATTGCCACCACATCCTCAATCACTGCACTATTTCCTTAAACTGATGAAACTATTGGAGAATGAAAGCTTTATATAATTTTACTACAATGATTAAGCCAACCATGAGTTAAGAGCAGAGGGTTGCAGGTATCTCTGGTTATAAGTTTTGATTACCATCTCTCAACCTTTAAGGTCATAAGGACCTTCTAAACGTTCCTGTTTAACTAGATTTGGACTTTTCTTAGACCATCGTGTCTGTGTTTTGGGTGATTCTCTATTGTTTCTGTGATTTACTGCACTGGTAGTTCTATATACCAAATTGCAAGAGGGTCAGTTCTGATATGCCTGGATGACTGGGTGAATGTTGTATGTGGATAAGAAAGATGTCTGAACACTTACCCTATTTTAATTTAGACCTGCATAAGAGAACCTGTCTGACTGCTTCTAAACTATGTTAACCATGACTGCCTCAAAGGAGAAGGAGAATGACTAGTAAAATTCCCCTGCTGTTTCATCTGCCCATCTTTCTTGGCACTTTGCATATACTTCATCTCTCCCTGGACTCTGCTCTGCAGCTTGCCAAAGAAAACACGTGTGCTAAGGTGCCTTCAGGCTGTTGTCCTCTCAACATGGGCCTCTCTTCTCACCTCCTTTTCTAGGTCTCTGGTGTGAACTCGACCTTTCATTCTAATCACCATGGCCCCCACCCAAAACCCCCGGGAGGCATTGCTCTGGGCCTTGAGTGACCTTGAGGAGAAAGATTTCAAGATATTAAAATTCCACTTACGGAATATGACCCCACCTGATGGCCAGCCCCACCTGGCCCGAGGGGAGCTGGAGGGCTTGAGCCAAGTCGATCTGGCACATCTGTTGATTTTAAAGTATGGAGAACAGGATGCTGTGAGAGTGGTGCTCAAGGGCTTGAAGATCATGAACTTGTTGGAACTTGTGGACCAGCTCAGTCACATTAGTCTGCATGGTGAGTGTGGAGGGGAAAAAGAAGAGGGCAGAATGGCACTGGGTCACCTCCTCCCATGACATTTTCAGGAATGTCCATACTCTATAACTTATGCTTTTTGTCACCTTGCCTTTGCCTGAGAGTCCCCCGTGCCCCAGGGTCCTGGGTGATCTCCAGCTGAGGGTCCCAACAACTCTCAGGTGGGGGGCCTGAGCTGAAAGCAGGGATTTATTTGAAGAAAGACTTGTCTTTATTCTCTTTCTCCTAAACTCTTGTTGCAGTGCCAGAGAAGGGGAGAGCATGAAGAAAGGGGCTTAGAGATTGGAGAGGGTATTGGGGAAGGGATTTCCACCAACCAGAATAAATTACATTAGGGTGTGGGGGTCAGACCTATCCCTTGCTGCTTCTGCCAAGCAGCTCATGCTTCTCACAGTCTTCTGTGTCCCTAATCTCTCAAGGAGTCACCCTGGAGAGTAGGGGAACATGAAACTTTAATGGCCTTCTATTCACTCTTGTAGGTCCCCAGGAAGAGGAAGGGATCTTCCAGTGCCAGTGCTCCCTCCCATAGACTACTTTTATGCCTGAAAGTTCCTCTGCTATAAAAAATGAGAGGGCTTTGTTGAGTCAAAGTCATGGCTCTCGCTCAGAAGCTGGTTATCTTTAGTATCGGGCCTGTCCTTTCTTAAGAACAGGCTTGTCTTATTCGGTTTTGTATTGCTATAAAATAATACTTGAGGCTGGGTAACTTATAAAGAAAAGAGCTTTATTTGGCTCATGGTTTTGCAGGCTGTACAAGAAGCAAGGCGCTGGAATCTACTTTTTAAAAATACATTTCAATAGCTTCAGGGGTACCAGTGATGCATTGTATAGTGGTGAAGACGTCTGGGTTTTACGTGTATCTGTCATACTCCCTAATGAGCTTCTGGGAAGTCTCAGAAAGTTTTCAATCATGGATGAAGGTGAAGGGGGAGCAAGTGTGTCACGTGGTGAGAGAGGAAAATGCAAGGGGAGCAGGTTTCAAGCTCTTTTAAATGAGCTAAGAGTGAGAACCCAGTCATTGCTACAGGAAGGACACCAAGACATTCAAGAGGGATCCACCCTCATGACCCAAACATATTTCACTAGGTCCTACCTCCCACACTGGGGCTCACATTTCAGCATGAGATTTCCATTTCACCATTTAACACCTCATCTATCTGGCTCAGATTACAGAGAAATATACCGAGAACATATGCGCTGCCTGGAGGAACTGCAAGAAGGGGGAGTCAATGGCTGCTATAACCAGCTGCTCCTGGTGGCCCGGCCAAGCTCAGAGGACCCTGAATCACCTGCCTGCCCCATTCCGGAGCAGGAGCTGGACTCTGTCATGGTGGAGACTCTATTTGGTTCGAGGGAAAAGCCCTGCCCGGCTCCATCCTTAGTGGTGCTCCAGGGGTCTGCTGGCACTGGAAAGACAACTCTGGTCAGAAAAATGGTGCTTGACTGGGCCACGGGTACCCTATACCCAGGCCATTTTGATTATGTCTTTTATGTGAGCTGCAAAGAAGTGGTCCTGCTGCCAGAGAGCACACTGGACCAGCTTCTCTTCTGGTGCTGCGGGGACAGTCAAGCCCCTGTTAGAGAGATTGTGAGGCAGCCAGAGCGGCTCCTCTTTATCCTGGATGGCTTTGATGAGCTGCAGAGGCCCTATGAAGAAAATTGGAAGAAGAGGGGGTCGAATCCCAAGGATGACTTGCTGTACCTTCTAATTAGGAGACATATCCTTTCTACATGCTCCCTTCTCATTACCACCCGGCCCCTGGCTTTGCAGAATCTGAAGCCCTTGCTGGATAAAGCGTGCCACATCCATGTCCTAGGCTTCTCTGAAGAGGAGAGGTGGAGGTATATCAACGCCTATTTTACAAATGAGGAGCAAGCCAGAGATGCCTTTGCCATTGTACAAAAAAATGCTTTTCTCTACAAAGCGTGTCAGGTTCCAGGAATTTGCTGGGTGGTCTGCTCCTGGCTGAAGGGGCAGATGGAGAGAGGCAAGGAAGTCTTAGAGACACCCAGGACCAGCACTGACATCTTCATGGCTTATGTCTCCACCTTCCTGCCACCCAATGATGATGCAGGCTGCTCCCAGCTTTCCCGGCACAGGGTCCTGCAGAGTCTATGTTCCCTGGCAGCTGAGGGGATCCAGCACCAGAGGTTTCTGTTTGAAGAAGCTGAGCTCAGGAAACACAATTTAGATGGCTCCAAGCTTGCAGCTTTCCTGTGCAGCAACGATTATCAAAAGGGACTTGACATCAAGAAGTTCTACAGTTTCCGCCACATCAGCTTCCAGGAATTTTTTCATGCGATGTTCTATCTGGTGAAAGAGGACCAGAGACAGCTGAGGGAAGAGTCCTGCAGAGAAGTAAAAAGGCTGTTGGAGGTAACAGAACAGAAAGAAGACGAGGAGATGACACTCAGTTTACACTTTTTATTGGATGTACTGAAAAAAGAGAGCTCCACGAATTTGGAGCTTCAGTTCTGTTTCAAGATTTCACCCTGTATAATGCAAGATCTGAAGCATCTTAAAGCACAGGTGGAATCTATGAAGCATAACAGGACTTGGGATTTGGAATTCTCCTTGTATGAGTCTAAAAAGAAGAATATGGTAAGAAGTGTTCAGATGAGTAGCGCGTTGTTCAAGGTGAAACATTCAAATGAAAGGAAATCTCATAGCAGGAATGGATTTCATGTTAAAACCAGCTTGAGTCATGGACAGAAAGAGGAGCAAAAATGTCTTTTTGTGTGCAAAAGAAATATAGCAGGAACACCAAAGGAGGCCTCTAATGGAAAAGGTGGAGGAACAGAGGAACTAGAAGACGATGTTGGGAGCAGTGGGATGGGAAGCAGAAAATGGGACAATAGCACAGATGGGTCAAAAGAATGAGGGGCAGAGGAAAAGGAGGTTGGGGAAAGACAGACAGAGAGTAAAAAAGGATGGAGAGATGAGAAATCAGATTAATAGGTACTAGGAATGTAGGACAGAGGAACAAATAAAAAAGATAATTGCATTGCAGAAGATTAGAAGACTTGGAACATAGGACCTGGGCAAAGGCCATGCGTGTGAGACCTTCAACACGCAACAATCTCATTCACCACCAAGAGCTCAAGTTCAGTTATTTAGCACCCTTCCCCTTGGAAGCTTTTTATAACCTCCAGTAGGGTAGAGTCCAGTTTCAGGACAATGAAAGGAAATATCATACTGTGGCATGATGGAATGTTCCTTTGACTCTGTATTTGTGATCAATTGTTGTTTAAATAAAAAAGTAACTTCTCAGTCCTTCTAGAAACGTCTAGAATTTCCCTGTGTTGGAAGTGAGTCTTGGTTTGTCACAGACCTGACTGTCAGTCTTGGAAACTGTACTGTGACTTGATTTATCTCTATATTAATAATAACATGTCATTGTTATCCCCAGCTGTGCCATTCACCAATTTCTTTTTGGAGAGAGCAATCCATTCCAAATCATAATCTCTTTTTCTGCTTGGGTTCCCTTTAGTATAGAAAAGAAGAAAAGTAAGAAATAAAGAATTCTAGTTGTAGGTATGGTCAGTTCCCCACCTTAATTTCATAGATGAGGAAATTGAGATCCAGTCAGGAGACCCATGAATTTCCAGTATCCCTCAGAGAGATCTCTCAGTTCCCACCTCTCAGCTAACAGAGTAGAGACCCACAAAGACTCTTCGCAGGTGCCTTAAAACTGCCTCTGCCCCTGTGGTTGTTGCTGGCTCCAATGCAGCTGAGAGTGGGACACTCAGTGTTTCACAGAAAGGCTACAGACACTCTTCTTTTTGTTTTTCACACGTTTTTATTGCAAGTTGATCCCACACGTACCAATTCCAGCAATCTGCCAGGCATGCCCAGATGTCTGAATCCAAGGGAACTCAGCCTTGAGTGGTCAACTTGGGATTCCATGATACTAATTATTATTAACTATTCTTCACACAAGATTGGATGGTTTGACATTAGATAATTGTATATATGGCATGTTGAACTCATGATCTGTGTGCATATACAGAATATATATAAGAAACAGTATGTGTGTGCATGGACTTATATAAAGAGAAATTTGTATTGGATTATGAAGAGGCTGGTTGGTACCTATTGAGCTGGGCTGTGCTGCCTTCTAAAAGGCTTGGACCATCTCAGCAGACCAACTCCTGAAAGACCTAAAGAATTTGGGAACAGTGAAACATGCCCAGCCATATCCTTGCATTTTCAAAGGACCAAGGAGAATTTAACATTAAAGTTTAGATATGTTATTCACATTCAATTCAAACTAGCTTAAGCAAAAATTAAAGGTCCATTTTATTGATTGTAACAAAAATCTCCTGATTTTTAATTCTTGGTCTTGGCAGCTCTTTCTAACAATACCATCAGGGCCTTCACTCTCTCTCCTCTCTGCTGTTCTTTTCATAGTTGCTGTCTCAGAAAGCCACCCTTGTGTGTCAGACAAGATGGCAATAAAAGGCATCAGCTTAAACCATCCTTACAGTACACAATCCAAAAGGAAGATAACAGTCTTTACTAATAGCCCTAGCAGAGAAGTTGGGGGAGGATGCTGACCTGACCATTGGTATGTGCCAAGCCTTAAGCAATCACGGTGGTCTGAAAGATGAACTTCTCTGACTGGCTTGGCCTGGGCCATGTGGCCTAGGTCACATGGCCACTTCCTCTAGATCATATGGCCATACTCCAGGACTGGGTGAGAAAGGATCAATATCTTCTAAAACACAGGGAATGGGAGAATGATTTCCCAAAGAAAGGGCTTCTGGGCAGGTTAGTATGTTATACAGATAAATTATGGCTTGGGTTTGGGGTTCCCTGAAGGGACTGGGTAGGAGAGGCAATGGATCTCTGCATGTAAAAATCTGAAAAATGGACCACAAAGCCTAGTGATTAGAGGGAACAGGGATTCCAGGTGTATAGAGAGGCTGGACCCACTTGTTTCTTCTTAGCCTCCTTTTGGAGGTGGGATGAGGAACATTCACCATGGGAAAGAAAAGGATATAGTTAGAAGGAAGGAACGCCGCCCCTAGGAGGCAGCTGTGGGAACACCTTGTGAAGGAATGAGGTTTGAGAGTGGCAGGTGGAAGAAGGTCATCACACAAAATACAGCCCAGTTACATTTGAATTTCAGAGAAACAACGAACAATTTCTTGACTGGGACATATTTATACCAAATGATGATTTGCTGTTTATCCAAAATGCAAATGTAACTGGGTATCTGTATTTTTATTTGCTCTATCTGGCACTCCTAAGTGGAGGAAGTTGGTGGTGGAGTGGGCAGCAACCCTGAGCAACAGGAAGAAAGACATCAATTGCAGCAGTTCTAATTATTCCAGAAACCCTCCTTCCTGTCCTTCTTACCCTGGGACTTGTAAAAGGAAAGTGGCCTCTTGTGGAACTCACCAACAGGTGAGGTCCCTGTAGCAGTTGGTTTAAAAATGTGAACACTTCTTGAAAATATGTAGGGGAGGGTTGCCAGAGAAAGACCCAATGTATGTTAGTGAATATGTTACAACTTTGAAATTGGGTCTATGCTACACAAGGCAAAATTGTCTTCATGGTCCAGTGATGTCCTAGACATGGTTTTAGGCAGGGAGTAATTGACAGGGAGTATATTAAGTTAGATATATGTGAGGTGGCTTGGCACTTACAGAGAAAATTACCCAGCTGTGCTGTATCTCTGCTTAGAGACACTAAAGTCTTAGTGCAAATAGTCGCAGTGTTTCCTGCTTTTTTGTGTCATTTTCACATTAATATGTGGACAGATGTAGATAAAATTGGAATTACGCTCCCGAGACCCAAAGTTCAGAACAGAAAACTGGATATATATTTTTATCCCTCTCTTTTTCTTTCTTTCTTTTTTTTTTGAGTTGTAATCTCATTCTGTCCCCCAGGCTGGAGTACAATGGCACACTCACAGAGTGCCAGTGTTGACCTGCTGGGCTCTGAGATCCTTCTGCCTCAGCCTTCCAAGTAGCCGGAGCTACAGGCGCGTGCTACCATGGCTGGTTAATTTTTGATTTATTGTAGAGACGAGGTCTCGTCAAGTTGCCTGGGGCTGATCTCGAACCACGGGCTCCGGGAATCCACTTGCCTTGGCCTCCCAAAGTGCTGGGATTACAGGCTGAGCCACTGAGCCCGGCTTTATCCCTCTCGAGTATCAACAGACACTGCCACAATTTAGGAAGAATTTGGGAAGCATTCCCTTCCTAAATACAGTGTAGGGATAACCTCCTTTTCATTGTTTTAATTCAGAGATCAAAATTTTTGTCCACTCCTCTGAAGTGGAGATTGCATTCCTACTGTCTTTCCTAAGGAGCCATTTTAGAGTTTATTCCTAGAACTATTTCTGACTCTTTTTGCCCAAGTCTTGGACTATTCCCCACTTTTACTTGGAAATGAATCTCTTACATAGTTCTCTGTTTAAAGCAACTGGGAGCTTTCCTCCATTGCTAAAATTTCTTATGCAATTTCAACAAAGATCTAGGGTAAGCTGGACTAATCTTTTTATATAAAATGTGATTCAGGATTCTTAAAGGGTCAGAAACTATAACCTTGATTATTCCTTCCTTCTTGAAACTCTTCCTGCAACTTCTGGGATATTTTCTTGTCTGGTTTGCCTTTTATGTCACTGAGCATCACCTTCTGGGTCTTCTAAGACTTAAATGTTTGTGTTCCCTATGATTCTGTTTTTGGACCTCTTCTCTTCTTGTATCCTAACTTTAGGGGATATCCCCTGTTGCTAGTGATGTTACTGAGTCTATATGCCAATGACTCCTCAAATCTGAACCTCAAATTCCCCTTTTGAGCTCCAGATCCGTGTCAGTAGGCTATTCCTTTTGGGGAGACAATATTCAGCAACTGGAATAAAGTATGCTGGAAAACCAGCTTGAATAGCAGAACATTAATAAAAACAAAACACAGACTGGGCACAATGGCTCATGCCTATAATCCCAGCACTTTGAGAGGTCGAGATGAGAGAATTGCCTGAGCCCATGGGATTGAGACCAGCCTGGGCAACTTGGTGAGACCTCATCTCTACAATAAATAAAAAATTAGCTGGACATGGTGGTGTGTGCCTGTAGTTCCAGCTACTTGGAAGGCTGAGGTGGAAGGATCACTGAGCCCAGCAGGTTGAGGCTGCAGTGGCTGTGAATGAGCCACTGCACTCCAGCTTGGGCAACAGAGTGAGACTCCAACACAAAAACAAAAAACCCAAACAAAACATTTTAGTCCTTCTCCCTTTGTCTCTCTGTTCAAAATACTTTATGATGGGGAATATAAGATATCCTTCATTGTTCCTGTCTATTTTAGAGAGGGCTTCTGGAAACATTCCAAGAAACTGTTTTTACATCCTAAAGCTGTAGGGATACAGACATGTCAGAAAGGCAAGGATCATGAATGCTGAATTATCTTGATGTATCCAGAGTTTTGCAGAGTTCTGGCATAGAGAAGTGTGTAGTAAAGATTTATTGAATGCACGAATGCCTAAGGACCTCTTTGTTCTCAATCTGTAATAAAGATATGTTTATATAATTACATATTGTGATACATGGATGCCGAAAATTGGGAGAGGGAAAGTATAAATTTCAAGTTACATATCAAGGCTCCACCACATGGAAACAGTACCTGGTTGTGAATTTTACCTACAATGAAAACAAATGTAACACAGGATCTTATACTGGTGTTACAAGCATTTCAAAATCATGCTAGAGATAATGGAACATTTTTGATAGACTGGAAATGATAAATACAAATTACTCATAGCCATTATTGCTAGTTGAATATGAATAAATATCATTAATGTGTTAATCATTGTGGCTTACTGGAAACATTAGGTACACTTTATGAGAACTGAATAAACCTGGTTCTGAATGCTG